GCGGTCAACTACATGGGAGTCCAGCGACATAGCCATTACACTAACTACTGGTTCCCAAGTTTAGGAAGTTTCTACCTACCCTTTTTGAAGCTCACTGATTCTTCCCTTAGTTATGTTGAGTCTAATAATGAATCCCCCAAAGGAGTTTGTCATGTCTGTTACAGGTTTTCACTAGCATCTTTTCCTTTGACTGCTTAAACGTTTCCTTCTCTCTGCTTATATTCTTTGTTTCTTCTTGCATATTGTCCAATTTTTGTGATTGGGCCTTTCTAATATTAATCACAGAGGTTACACTTTCCCAGACAGATAATTGCATCATCTCTGCCCTGTCTGAGTCTGATTTAGTTTTTTTTAATTTGCTAGAGGGTATATGCATTCACCAAAGAGTGACAGAAGAGAGTGAAGCAAAGATAGAATGCACCACACATGGAAAATGCACATGCCTCAATCCCTTCTTCACCCTTCCTTTCAGGATTCTGGCCCTGTTTGTTTTTCAAGCTGTTGGGTCCAGGACTCTAATCATGCAGTTGCCCATAGTAGATCCAGACACCCTAGCCATCACAGCACCAGTTGGCTCCTCAGTATGATTCTAATGCTTGTTTTTTCTGATCAAGTGCTTGCTTTTCCTTGGCTTTTGGTTTGCCTTCTAGTTTGGGGGTAAGAGGTAGGCATCATTTCCTTAGCGAAAGGACCTGAAGTAGCTAGGTCAATTGTATGAGGCTTTCTGTTGATCACCCTAGTTGTTAAGGTGTATTTATTTCCTGCAACTGTGAGTAGCAGTGGCTAACTTCAGCCAGACTCTGGTAAAATAGTTTCCCTTGAGGACAGGCCTTTTTAAGCAGAACAGAATACTTCTGAGGGTTCTCATGTATCTACTATAGAACCTATCAGCACTCCTGGAGGTAAAACTCACATCTTGTGGCAACCCTTTTCCCCCTCAAGGCTGAGCTTTCCTGGCATTTTAAAATATCCTTTTCAGGGACCGGCAATTGGCATAATGGCTATGTCGCTGGAGTCCCATGTAGTCAACCAAGTTCAAGTCCCAGACCCAGCTGCTTAAACTCACACCGGTTGCATGTGCGTGCATGCCCAAGATCCTGAGAGGAGAATGGAAGAGAAGGGATTGTGGTGTGGCCATCTCCCCGAGGGGTGATTTCTCACTATCTGTCTCTCTGTCTCTTTCTGTCTTCCTGGAGAGTGCATGCGCCCTATAGTAAAAACCTCTCCAGAAAAAAGAAGAGAAATAAAAATAAAATATCATTTTCATCCATGCTGAGCCTCAAGGAATTAGTCGTTTAGATGGTAGGTTGTCCTACTCTGCAGCAAATTTTCCCACTGATAATTCTGACTTGGCCTTCTGTGTTGGTAGATGATAGTTCTCTGTATCACCCTGTCTAGCTCTCTCATTTGCAGGTAATGGCTTATCCTATGACATCAGTTCTGTGATATAAGAAGAATTGTTGATGTTTAGTTTATCATTCTTCTTCTAATGCATTTGGGAGTGACAGCATAATAGCTCCGTGTAAGCTTCATCAGAAGACTGTTTCATTCTTTTAGTTGTTTCTTCTAGAGTACAAATTAATGACTGAAGTGGAAATTAGCCTTGTAAAATAATCTTTTGAATAAAAAGTTTAGTAAGCAAAACAACATAATCTCAATAAGAACACTACAAATTACAAATATTTTTAGTTAAAAAAAAGACTGAATACACTAGTTCCCCTTTCATCTGCAGTGGATAATTTTAAAAGCTCCCCATCCCCTAGAAGATACCCTAAACTAGAGATAGCACCCAATTCTATACACCCTATGTTCTTTTCTATAGATGTATTTCTCAGCTTATGATGGGCTTGTGTCCCCCAAAATCTACTATGATGGGCTTGTGTCCCCCAAAATCTACCATGATGGGCTTGTGTCCCCCAAAATCTACTATGATGGGCTTGTGTCCCCCAAAATCTACCATGATGGGCTTGTGTCCCCCAAAATCTACCACACTGAAAATATCATAATTGGAAATAATTTAATATACCTAACCTACCAAACATAACCTAGCCTACCTAAAACATGCTTAACGTAGAATGCTTACTTATTTTAGCATATATAGTTGGGCAAAAGTCATCTAACAAAAAACTTATTTCATAATTAAATGTTGACTACTATATCATGTAATTTATTGAATATTGTACAGAATGTGAGAAACAGAATAGTTGTATGAATGCTTGAAGTACAGTTTCTTCTGGAAGTTTATCACTTTTGCACTATCATAAAGTAAAAGGTATATTAAGTGGAATTACCCTAACTTGGGAACCATCTGTACATACATACCTTTGGGTAAAGTTTAATGTATAAAATAGACATAACAATTGAACAGCAATAACTGACAATAAAAGAGAACAATTATAATATATGATGATAAAACATATATAAACCTGGTCCCTCCTGCTCAAAATGTCTTACTGCATCATTCTTATGTATTTTTGGATTGCAGTAGGTAACAAATCACATGAACAAAACAACAGGGAAGGTTTGTGTGTGGAGGGGAACAAATGTATGAAACAGTTTATGAACCACTGGTCTTCTCATTTACCCCTGTCTACCTGTGGGATGACATGAGGTCAGGAAGTTCACTGTTTCCTGAGCAAGGTCCAAAAGTCAAGGAATATCCTTGATTTTCTGTCATCACTTTCTTTTAACAACATTCTTTTAAATGGCTTTTTGATGCTGTCATGGTAGTCTAATATGTTGGCAAGACTGTTGTCTGGACTCTGTACCTGATCAGCACTTAAATCTTTGAAAATAAGAATTTGTTCTGTGATGTCAGGAAAATGTTTCTTACATGGTGGAAAGATGAGGGCCTACCTGGATATTTTTAGTTCTATTTCTGTGTTGTCTTCTGGGAATGACTCAGGTTTGGGAAGCACTTTTTATCTATTAGGCAAAAGTTATTTGTCATGTCCATCATTGGCTCATTTTCTCTGTCTTCCCCTCTTCTTCTAATTGGGGTACCCTGAGTTTTAGAGTTATTGGAGTAGATGTAATGTGATTTCTTTATCAAGTGAGACACAGCCACTTCTCACCTTTACTATGAATACTGGGTTTTCCAAATCAAAAACTTAGGTAAATTACTAATCAGCAGAAAAATTATGAGATGTCTGCATTTCCCTTATGAAAATCAGATAGGCTGATGTTCCTTTAATAGAACATAAACAAAAATAAGATATTTATCTTTATACTCTTTATTAGAAATGGCTTATGAAGTATCCCCAGCTCTTCCTGACCTTTTTTTAAATTTGAAATCCCATGAATTTGTTATTTATAACAAATTTTGATATTTACATTAGTTAGTATTTTGACAATTTTATCAGAAACTAGAGATATTTCCTAATAGTATGTTTTGGTATCAAATTTAGTTTTGTTTTTCCTTCTTTTAGGTAAAGCCTCATGTATATCAAGGTAAGATTTTAGTCTTCTCTTTTGATTCTGCTTTTTCTTTCTTAAAATTTTGCCAAAGGGTGTATGCACTCACTGAAGAGAAAGAAAGAAGGCAGACAAGTGAGAAGCACTGCCCCCCCACATACACACTCTATGGGGATTGATCAGGCAGCAATCCCTTCTTTATTTCTCCCTCCTTTTAGGGATCTTGAGCTTGCAAACATACTAGCTGGACTTGTTTCTCAACATCTTGGGTCCAGTACTCAAACCAGGCATTTGGCCATGTAGGATATAGCCACCTTAACCTGCATACCATGGTCTGACAAGCTTTTGCTTTCTTTATAATATGTGCTTAGTACAGTTGTTTCGTGTGGGTTCTAATTCAACTAGGGGTAAATACAGTGACTTATCTGTGGGTGGCTTCTTAACTCTTGAAATTGTACTCTTCCTGGAAGGAGGGCAAAATAACAACGTAGAGGGAGCTACCATCTATTGAGATATAAGGCCAGAATGAGGAGGAGATTAGGGGAGCAGGGACAACTGGACAAATTTAGTTTCATGTAGAAATAGTTAGGAAGCCAATGGTGATATGAGTCTGAAGTTCAGGGGAGATCTTTGGCCTGACCTGGAACTTGAGAAAATGTAAACGATTATTAAATCACTGCCAGAGCCCATCATGTATTTTTGTTGTTGTTGTTCAGGTTTTTGGGAAATGTGAGAATTCACCACCAGGGGGATGGCCACATCAGTCACTTCTCTTCCATTCTCTTGGGATTTGGGACACACACACACACACACACACACACACACCTTGTATGATTCTCAAGCCACCAGGCCCAGGTCTGAAACCACAGTCAAACTGTGGGAGTCTAGCACCTTAACCAATATGCCACTTGCTGACTCTGCCCATTAAGTTGTTTTTTTGTTTTGTTTTGTTTTGTTTGTTTGTTTGTTTAGAGAGAGGTTTTACCTTAGGGCACACATACTCACTGGAGACACAGAGAGAGACAGAGAGATAAAAAGCAAAAAATCACACCCCATCGCCATGCTGCAATTCTTTCTCTTCCATTCTCCTTTTGGGAATTTGGGCATACATGCACACACACATGCCCAGCATGAGTTTTAAGTTGCCATGTTTGGGACTCAAACCAGGTTATGTGGGAGTCCAGTGACATGACCATTACACCATCCACCCATTAAGTATTTTAAGACTTACAGAAGAGCCCAGAATTGCCAGGCAAAATATGTGACATAACAGAGGTTTTAAATAATGTGTTAGAGTCTTACATATAGGCAACCATTAATAGCAGTGGAGAATGAACAGAAGTAAACTTGAAATATAATGTGGGTAATTCATCCTGCAGGTACTCTGAAGAATGTGGTGATTCGGGGTGCAGTCTGGTGATAGCCAAGGTGGCTGCTAGGCACACAGTAGGTCTACAGATGCTGGAGTTTATTCTAGTGAATGCAGCAGTAGTGTTCTGAGAAGAGTGACCTCCAGACAAGATAGTTCTTATGCTGGGAAAATATTGTCAGGAAAGTCATGATGTATTTTTCTATGTTTTTCTATGCAAAAATGCCTCATGTCTTTTTTGATGACACAATAGAAGACAGGTCAGGCTCTGGGCCAGATGAGAGAGAGCACACCCGTCAGAGGGACCTGGAATTATGGACTATGTTGGAGGAGCTTTAAAGGAGTTATCTACCTATGCAATGGTGATTCATATGTGTTGTTCACCCTTATGGTGGTGGCAATTTCCCCTTGGGGATTAAAAAAAGCTTGTCTTAAAAGGACTTTATTTATCTTAATCGTCCTTCCTACCACCACCACCACACAGTAATTGTACAGGGCCTAAGCACTGGACATAAACACACACACACACACACACACACACACACAGGGGTGGGGGGAAGCAAACCCCAATGACATGTGGCAATGCCCCAATCCATTCTCTTACATTTATTTGTTCATGATTTTGAGCACACATGCACCGGTTGTGTTTTAAGTCATTCACAATAGGATGCAGAAAGCAATGGGCCATGGGGGATCTGGTTCTTTTAACCACTAGACCTTGAGACCAGTTTTATCCTGCTCCTTGAGTGACTAAGTGATAGAGAGAAGACTATACCTAAGTGTGTTTTATTTCATACATCATGTCTCTGGAGTCTCTGATCTTGCTTATCCTGAGAGACAATCAGTTGGGAATACGAAAGATATTGGAGGCCTTAGAGTTTGTACTTTGTTCCTCCTAAGGAATTTCAGAGTGGCAGGAAGGTGGGGCAAAACCTGTGTGAAATGAGGCATTTCTTTGTAAGGATCTGTTTATTTACTTTGTTAACTGAAGGACAAATATAAGTAGATAGGGTATTAGATGTCTCTGTTCTTCTCTGGTAATGATAAAACTCTTTAAATTGCTCAAATGTAGGCCAGCTGGTGGCATGGTGGTTAAGACACTAGACTCACACATGGACAACCACAATTTGAGTTTCAGACCTGGCAGCTTGAAACTCACACTGAGCGTGTGTGTGCCCAAAATCCTAAGATGAGAAAGGATTATGGCATGGCATCCCTCAGGGGAAGGGTGGGTGATTTCTCACTTTCTCCTTCATCGCCTCCTCTCTAGCAACTGCACACACCTGATGACAAAACAAAACAAAACAAAACAAACAAAGATAAGGAAAAATTGCCCAGATGAGCTCATCAGGTGGCATGGTGGTTGAGGCATATGACTCTCACATGGCTGACTGTGGTTTGAGTCCCAGAGCTATCAGCTTTAAAATTATACTGCACACATGTGCAAGCATGCCCAGAATCTCAGAAGAAGAACGTTGGAGACGGAATTGTGGTATGACCATGCCCCGTGGGGGATGAATTGTCACTTTCCCTTTTACTCTCTGTCTTTGTCTCTCTCCTTTTCTGAGGGCACACATGCTCTATGGCAAGAACCTTAAAAGAAAGAAAGAAAAAAAAAATGTCTGGTGAGTGTATGTGCATGCCCCAAATCCCAAGAGGAGAATTTAAGAGAAGGGAACCAGCAGGTGGCATGGTGGTTAAGGTGCTGGATACTCCCATATGGCTGACCATGGTTTGAGTCCTGGACCTGGTGATTTGCTTTCTCACTTTTCCTCTCTCCCTCTGTGTCTCTGTCTGGTCAAGTTAAAAATAAATAGATGAATAAATAAAGTTAAAAAAAATAAGAGATTGCAGCATGGCCATCCACTGTGGAGGGATGATTTCTCACTTTTCCTCCCTCTCTCTGTCTCTGGTGAGTGCATGAGCCCTGTAGAAAGAAAGAAAGAAAGAATGAATGAATAAATGAATGAATAAATAAATAGAAAGTGTTCATGTTTTCTAAGAAGAATGGTGCCTTTTTCTATTGATGGGAGAGTAATGAGGTAAAGACTGTATTACCTCATCTTAGAAATCATTTTAAATAGGCAATTAAACACTTTACAGAATGAAATAAGATTCCTATATTTATGTTTTCTTATACTGAAAATGCCACTAACTTTCTTCTCCTTCAGAATAGTGCAACTTACAAGTTAATTGTGCTCATTGTAGCAGAGAATGTTTAGTTGCTAAAAAATGCCTTCAGTCAACTTGATTTTATTCAGTTTTTGTAATAACCTTAAAGATATTTCTCTCTACTCTTAGTTAATTTGCAACAAATATCTGAAGATATTGACACTTTCAAGAAGGAAAACGCAGAACTTGCCGAAAAAATTACTGTTTGGGAACAGAAGGTATGATTGTCTTTCTAATTTCTGCTTTGTAATGTGCCGGAAGCCCTGCTCCAGCTGGGGTGGGTTGAGGCTTGTATACAGGAAGGCGACACAGTCGAGCAGGAATCAGACTGAGATCTTGATGCTCTTTAGCATGTTCTCTGCTGACTACAGTCAGTGCAAGCTCAAGACTGCAGCCTCAATGGCTATCAAACATACGTATTTATTGAAGGATGTTTTACAGAAGTAGGAGGGGTGAGGGGGAAGTAAAAGATTTACTCTA